ACTCGGCTGTCGGTTGCTGGGGCAACCGGGCCGAGGAGGGACGCGGAGGCCTAGCTTCCGGTTGAAAGCCACTATGGACTGTACAGGAGGCCTCCGCAGACGGAACTCTATGGTGAAGCAGCTTCCGGGCCTCTCCGTGGAGCGCCTCCTGGGGGCAGTGTGCTCTGATGGGCTGTGGAACTCGAAAGCATGTGATATCATTATTGGTTGGAGAAGTCCTGAAGGTCTTCCGAGATTCTTCCTTTTATTTCAGAGGAAAGAAAACAACCATAATTAAAACGTTAGGGTTGTTCCACAACCGAGAAACTCGGCTTAATCATTTAAATAATATATTTAAATACGGAGACTAAGACTACCATATCTGGGCTGCAAAACTCCTGACCACCGCTAGAGGGCCAAAATAGTTTTTTCGGTATCTCTTTGTTGCCCTCTTGTGGCCCTTTGGATGCTTGCAGGCCCAATATGGCTCTGGACTAAGGACTCATAGTTTATTTCTTTATTTATCAAATTGATGGAGCCCCCCATCTCACAAATGTGACTCTGGGCGGCGTACAATAAAAGCAGAACATTTAAAAATAAAATTTTAAGAAGCATTAATTAAAACATAAATACAAATAAAACCATGGGAGAGTGCCTTCAAGGTCTTACATGCAGTATAGCCATCTCACGGGCTCCCTATTTCCATTGGATCTCCAAGCCAGCTGACAAAACCAAGTTTTAAGGGATTTCTGGAAAATCATTGCATTTGCAAATGCATAGTTGTATTAAGGTGCTTTCCTTCACTCCATGGGGTGACACAAAAGTATATTGGCAGAATTTGTTATGCTGATCTCTATCCAGGCTCAGTCATGAGGCCAGCTTGCCTTCCTGTTAGCTTGTTAGATTGATAACTGTCCAGATATCTATAGCTCAAGGTTGACCTGTTGGGTTCTTGGTGTTTTCTGAGCTTGGTTGATTTCTTGCAGACGTCTCATTACCAGGCTAGGTAACGTCATCAGTGAGAGTGAGAGTGGGGTTTGCTGGCTGTTTATATACTACATCAGTGTTTCTCAACCATATCAAACTTTAAGATGGGTGGACTTCAACTCCCAGAATTCCTCAGCCAGCAAGGCTGGCTGAGGAATTCTGGGAGTTGAAGTCCACAGATCTTGAAGTTGCTGAGGTTAAGAAACACTGTACATAGTTGCTTGCCCTGCCAGTCATGGTGGGAATGTGGCTTCCTCCTTGATGGTTCCTTGATTAGTGTATTGCTTCTCCCCTGATTGTTTATCTGAAGTGGCCTTCTGCTTATCTGGGTGTTGGCTGCCGGTGTTCCAACTTGCATACCAGTCTTCCCACTCCCATTTGTTGAGTAGCCAAAACAGCTACCAGTCACTCCCCTTAATACTGCAGTGGAATGGGCTGGGTGGCCGGAGCTTGCAAACCCGAAACTTGTTCTCCATCAGAAGATATTACAGCCATATTGAGAACTGGACAATCGTGCCAAAGACAGTATCCTGTACTAGTTGCCCAAATGTTGGGGCACTGATATAGAGGGGCTCTGAGATGGTTGCCTGTCATTTGGGCTAGTTCTGAACTTGTATCTAGCATTATTCTGGGAGAGTCCCAGTCCAGTGGCTAACTAACAAACAGATTGATAGGTTGGTGGCCTAGTGCTGGACCATGGAATAAAGTGGGAGAGATCACAAAGAGACCACCAGCTTTGCTCTCTCTCGTTTGGTCTCATATAGATCCCTATGAAGTTCAACCACAAAGTAGCTGCAAAGTCAGTGTTCACTGCAGTTCCTGCTGCAAACAAAGGAAGCAACGGGAGAGCGTTCTTCATGGCAAACGTGACGTCCACCTTGGTAGCAATCTCACCACTGGTCCTCCTCCATTCCTGTTTTTTAGATATTTTTTTAAAGTGACATCTAGCGGTCTCTCATAAGAGGACTGAACATGTTTTGATAGCAGTCTAGCAGCGTTTCATAAGGACCCCCTGTAAGTTGTGACTTGAGCTTTAGAAAGTGCCAAAGTTACATCCAGCAGCAGAAACCAAGAGGGCTGTGGAGGACAGTGGCTGGCAAGTGAAAGCGTACCATGTACCCACTGCAGCTGAAAGTGGCCAACGAGAGCTGTGCAGCTCCTGACTGTCCCACCACGACCACAGGTGCCACTGACACACCATAAATCATGCAAAGCTTGGGTCTGAAAAAGATGGAAGCTGCCATAAATGTCAGATCAGCTAAATACAAAGTTAGGCAGATTCATCTACCTGTATGGGATAGGGATGAGAGGAAGGCACTGTCATGAAGACAAGTCCTTAAAGCAGTGTTTCTCAACCTCGGCTGCTTTAAGTTGTGTGGACTTCAACTCCCAGAATTCCCCAGTCAGCCATGTTGGCTGGGGAATTCTGGGAGCTGAAGTCCACACATCTTAAAGCTGCTGAGGTTGAGAAACACTGCTTTAGTCAATCATATTCCACTTCATTCCACATCTATTTACATAGTAACTGCCCATTCTGACATCTTCCCTGAATCTCTACCACAAGCAC